AGGGTGCAGCATCCCAGTGGTACTGCGGCATGTCTTGACAGGGCAATCTCCCTTCCCTAAAATGCCTGTTGGGGGATTCCTCCTGCACCATCTCTGCTTGCTGCTGTTGGTCCTAGCACGCTGCTGTGGGATGCAGGATGCTCTGGGTCCTCCCTGCCCACAAGCTGCTTGAGCTGCCCCTTGGGAGGGACCAGCAAAGTCCAGTGAGGCCAGCTGGAGAATTGGAATGAAGTCTCTTGGAATAACCTCCTGACAGCATGTCCCCATGGCTGCTGGGGAGGGATTGCAGCCAAAGCTCATTTCATGGTCCAAGGGCTGCAGTAACCCCCCTCCAAGCTCCTCTGTCAGGGGGGAGGCAAGAGTGTTTCAGAGATGGAGCGGGGCCTGCAGCCACAGTGCGTTTTGCCATGCCCCTCATTGGCTTTGCAGCTCCCATGTGAATGAAGCAAGGACTAAAAATGCTGCATACTTGGTTGCAGGCCAGCTCTTAATCCCATGGCCTGGGGGCTGCTATTCACAGAGCAACAGGTTTGCAAGCAACTGCATGTTGCTGGGATGGGCACCCCAGGGCTGGCCCCCCAGGTGCTGGCCATCCCCACACTGCAGTGGCACCCGTGGGTGCTGGCGGGACACAGTACTGCAGGATCTCCAGCCATTGTGCCAGCTCCCCTTGGTGCCAGTGGGCAGCAGCCTGTCAGCCCCTGTTTTTCAGGAGCACTCCAACATGCCAGCTCCTTTCCCATCAGCTCCCTGACAGCTGGGGTTTGGCAGGAATATGAGGGGGGGATGTACTCATGGCCTCTTACCTGGCTTCTGAGGTGCTGCAGACATTGCCCTGGCTGTGCTTTGCTTTCGTGCAGCCAGAAAAGCCTGCTGGGACCTGGTTCCCCCTCACCAGGCTCCAGGTTAGCTGCTTTCCATGCCAAATGCCTGGGAGCCTGATTTGGGGTGGTCCTAGGCTGCTCTGTGCTGCCCAAGACTTCTCTTCACTAGCACCCATGGCACGAGCAGGCAATGGGGACTCTGCTGATGCAGAGGGTGACAAAACCTGGGAGGGGATGGTGTGTTTTGGGAGCTATTTAAAACCCAGGTGTGTGATTTGGGTGGAGAGAAGGCACAAAGTGACCCACAGGAAGAGGCCAAGGGGTTGCTCCTGAAGAATGCTGAGCGGTAAGAGTGCACTATGAGGGCTGCTGGCGGTACCCCCTGAGGCCAGCAACACAGCATGAGGTGCTGGGAGAGGACAGCCCACACCACTTTATTCCCATTTCATGGCAGCCTTCAGTTTGGCACTGGTCCTTTGCATGCCACTGAGCTCTGCACCGTGTTGCCTGGGCGCTGGAGGAAGCACTGGTTGAGTTGGCTGTAACATGTCTGTGGTGGGGTGAGGAAATGGAATTTTGGTGTACGTTGTTAGTGCTACTACCCGGCTTTAAGAAAATTCATCTCAGGAGCCTCAGGCACTGGTGGTCTGCCTATGCCAGCTTCCTCCCTGCTTTCCCCATGCCTGCTGGGGAAGGGATGGCTGCCAGCAGCTGGCAAAGGATGGATCTCTGCCGCTCCCGTGGGAATTTTTATCAGGTCTGATTTTGTCCTGTCAGCAGAACTCAGCTCAGGGGTGCTGGGTGATGTGCTCAGCCCCACATCCTGGGAAGAGCCGATCCCATCCCATGGCAGAGGCTTGGCATTAGAAAGGCGCTGGGTTGGCCCCTGCTGCCCCCGTGATGGGAACAGCTCATGTGCTAATGCCGTGAATAACAGGCAAGAGCCGCTGGCTGAGGACAAGGGCCCTGTGTGAAGACCCATGGGACTGATGCTGGGGCATCTCCCCTGTGCTCCCTACTGCCATGCAAAGCTGTTCTGCACCTCACAAAGCCTCTGCGTGCCTCAGTATCTCCATCCCGTTCCCAAGTCCTTGCCTGGGTGACAAGCTGCGGGCTCGTTGGCATCTCGAGGAACAGAGTGTCAGTGTTATTTTCCTAGTGGACCTGGAAGGAAAACAGATTGAAGGCCTTGAATCTCCCCGTTTCTGGTGTTTGTTTGAGGCATCAGAGCATCTTCCCTTCTCGGGAAAAGCGTCATGGCCAAAAGCCATGTGCCATCTCCAAAGGCTTAAATACCTGCTGCCAAGTCACCCTGAGAGCAGTAAGGTGGTAGGAAACACTGGGCTTTTTGTTTTGTGGGGGTTTTAGTTTTTTTTTCCATTTGCATGTAAGTTTGGAGGCCACCATGTTATTCCTTGACTTTTCTTTCCAAGACCAAAATGTTCTTTGAATGGCAAAGCAAGGGTACAGTGTGATACCTGAGGAGAGCCTCCCTCCCATCCAGCGGTGAGGAAGCCTGCTCCAGCCTGGCCACCTCTTTTTAAGTCATCTGGCTGGTTTGGGGGCTAAACTAGGAGTTTTTCTGTGCATTACTCTTCTTGGAGGAGCTCAGCCCCCCAGGGGCAGCAGGTAAAACCATCCTGCTCTGGGTGAAGGGGAGGTAGGGTTGGGTGCTAAAAGGTTTGGTCACTGTGATAGCACAGGGCTTTTGTAAATGGGTGACACTGGGGTGGCAGTGCCAAGCATCCCCACTGTTACCCAGGGATGATGTCCCTCCAGTCCCACTGTGAGCTTGGCACTTTCTCCTCCCTCCAGTGCTGCAGGCACCGATGGGAACTTTGTTTTCTCACTGAGAAACCATTTCTGGGGGACTTTCTCTTGCTATTGTTCAGATCAGGAAACAGCCATTGCCGTTGAGACAAGTGGGACCATACAGGGCTTGGAGGGGAAATACCAGCTCCCCCACCCACATCCCCACAGGGATTTCTTGTCCCGGTTGAGTAACAGGTAAAAGGGGATGATCCTCTCCTCCGAGCACCCCAAGTAACATCCTAAAGATGCCAGTACAGTGGGATGGGCTGAAGCTTTGTTGGGATGCAGCATTCCTCATACTGAGGGAATGCTTTCTTGGTGTGCTGGCTCTGTGCTATCACTATACTGTTGGTGTTTGTATGCAACTTGGTTGCTTTTAAGCTGTCCGGGTGGTTCCCATCACAACCGGCATTTTGTCACCCCAGATCCATGCTTTTTGGATCCACATGCATGATTCTCAAGTGTGCAGCAAGGCACTGGGATGACAGCCCACATGCTGCCAAGTCCTGCCTGTGCCAAACCCTTCCAGCCCACACCAGAAAACCTCGTTAGCGCCACACTCAATTATGGCAGCAGGTTAATTAATAACCCGAAGCCCCATCTTCCAGTGATAAACTGCTGCAAGAAGCAGACAGGGAGGGGCACAAGTGGCTGTGCCCATGGTGCTGTGCTGCACCAGTGCAGGATGTGCCCTGGATCCCTGCTGACCAGGAATGCTCCCAGGAGAAACCCATGCTTGTGGGGAGATCTGCCAGCAAGGATGCCAAGTTCTCAATCTAGTGATATTCCCACAGCCTCCCCATCTGACAGCCCCTAGGTGACTGCGAAAGCTCAGGAGCCTCTTCAGGTGATGCTGGTGGGTACCCCATATCTGCTTGCAGGAAACAGAACAGAATTCAGCCACTTGCTGGATTTTGAAAAGGATGCTGTGGGAGTGACATGGGATTCAGCAATCGCAAAATAGGTGCTGGCTTGTATTTGGGCATTGGCAAGTGTTTGGCTCTGCTGGCTGGTCCGGTAGGTCCCATCAATGCTGTCCTGCCCTGGGGAGGGGCTCCCAGGGATTGCTGGATCACCAAATGACTGAGTGGTTTGGGTTGAAAGGGACTTTAAAGCTCATCCAGTTCCAACCCCCTACCACAGGCAGGGACACCTTCCACTAGAGCAGTTAAAACAAAGCCAAACCAAAGACACTGCAGCATCCTTCACTGTCAGTGGTGGGCTGAGCCACGGTGTTCGAGAGATGATGGTGACACTACCGGAGATCCGAGGACACCTTTAGTTTTGCAGCTCACCACAAAGCCTCCCTAGCTCTAAAAGTACCCAAAACCACATCTCCTTCAGAGCACTGCCTGTCTGAAGCACCTCTGGGATGTGAGTACACAAGGTCCTCGTGCAGCTGAGAAAGCACACGAGGATTTATCCTTCCTTGCAGAAGCAGCCCTGACATTTACCTCACCCACCTGCTGAAACAGGATCCCAGGCATCAACCTCCAGGCAGCTTTTCTTGGCAAGTTCAAGAACCATCCCTCAGGAACATAGAATGGTTTGAACTGGAAGGGACCTTAAAGCTCATTCACTTCCAACCCCCTGCCACAGGCAGGGACACGTTCCACTAGACCAGCCTCCACCCATCACTGGGGCGATGCAGGGTGAGCAGGTGGTGAAGCTCAGTGTTCCCAGCAGCACCAGAGATGCAGTTTGTGGTGTGGGGAAGGTGTAAAGCGTGATGGGAAGGGCTGTGGGTGTGAAGGCTATGGCTTTGTGGAGCACATGGGTGCAGCAGCACCCGAGGGTAGTTATCACTGGCTTGGGTGCAGCAGGTCACAGCAGCCCTGACTGCATATAAAGAAAAAGAAAACTCTGGGGGAGCAGAGTGTAAGGTGAAGGGGTGGGGGAGGGGCTGCAGAGAACATTGCCTGCCTGGTCATGAGGGGCAGAAGGGGTTTTGGCAGCCACAGTTGCTCCAGGATGAGCCTGGGAGAGTCTGTTTCTGCCAGGCTGCAGTGACAGAGCAGTTTGCATTGTGCATGGCTCCTCAGCTAATCTGCAGGAGCTGAGAGCACCCGAGACAATAATTTCAGGGCTGGTGAACTAGGAAACCACCGTTTCCTTCTGTTCCTATCTGTGGTAAGAAGACAAGGCCTGAACAGAGAGATCTGAGGTTGGGAGTGGAAGAGGCAACCCTCCTTCCCACTCTGAGTCACTGGCGGTTGGTGCCAGTGCTGGGGCACCCCTCACTGCCCAGACCCCAGGGACTCGCTGATGGCTGCCCTGTCCTTCCAGCCCCGGTGCTCGTGGCTCCTCCTTGCAGCAGGGGCACCAGGGAGCTGTTTACCACCACCACAGCCTTTGCTTTCCATCCCCGGACCCCATGGTATGGGTGGTATCCAAATACTCACATGGCCCCTTTCCTTTGTACCCTTCCAGGCCCTGCTTTTTCCTCAGAGGCCAAGCCAAAGCAGAGAGCTTCCTGGGATGAAGGTCCTTCTGCTCCTTCTCTCCCTACTCCAAGGTAGACTGCCCCAACCACATCCTGCCCTGGGATGATGAGACAGGTTTGGGCTGCTGGAAATAATTGGCAGCGCCCAAAACTTGCCTGGGGAGTACAGAGGGGTGCTTGCTACTGTGATTTCCACAGAGGTGAAATGTCTCATGGGCTGATGTGCCTCTGATGGGGTTTCTTGGGCAGGATGAATTCTTTCCAGGGAAAGAAGATGATCCCTGTCCATTATTTCTGGGGATGGAGAGGTCCTCTCTCTGCTGAGGTGGCTAATAGCACCTGGGAGAGGGTGGCTCCGCAAAGCTGTGGCTCCTGCTGCCTCAGGAGCCCTGACAAACCCCCCCAGCATGGCCATGGGGACATCAGGGAGGTGGGCCAGTGTCACTGACATCATGCAGCCCATCCAGGACAGGATTGGGGTTACAGCGGCAGAAAGCCCGGCTGAACCACCATCTCCAAACACTTGTGTCTGCAGGGGCGGGAGCATGTGGCCATAAGGAAGAGGACTTCCGCTTCTGTGGTGACCGAAACCAGACCCAGAACAGCTCCATCATCTACGAGCATGGCCCTGCTGCCATTTCCATCGAGAACACAGCCCAGGCACTGATCATAAGAAGGCCTTTTTTGCCAAGCAGGAGAAACTCCTCGTACAATTACAGTTTGCCCCCCATGCTGGGCAGGTACCGCTTCTGCATCTGCTGGTTCAGGGCCAACAGCACCCTGCGGCTGGTGTACGGGAAGCAGAGCTTTCTCCTGGGCCGAGATCCAGTCAGCAGCAATGCCCGGGGGAAGCAGGGTCAGGAGACTGCAGGAGCCAGCACGTCCATCTTCAATGTGTCCTACATCTCGAAGGGCGGGAAGAACACCTCCCTTGGCAGTACCTCTGAGTACTTCTTCCCCGGTAAAGGCAGTTCAACATTATTTCAATGAAATGCAGGGTTCCTTTCATCCCCAGCCCATTCTTATGCCATCAACAGTTGGTGTCCCAGGATTTGGTATGGTGCTGATGTGAAGACACAGCTGAATGGTGATGGAAGGGGACGTAGGTTTGCTTCCAGCAGCCCAGAGGCAGGCCTGGATACCCAGGCTCCTAGAAGATGGAGATTTTCAAGTGTATTGCCCCCTAAAATCATGGGTTTTGCAGAGGTTCCAAGGGTCCTGTCTGCACTGCTAGGCACCTAGCCAACCTGGGCCTGGTAGCCACAGTGGGAGCCACTGTGCAGCAGGAGAGGCCCTCTAGGTTGAGGTGTCCATCAGGTCCCTGGGCTTGGGGCTACCTTGAAGCCCTCTGCTTTCTGCTTCCACCAGTGCTGTGCCCAGTTGGTTGGGGGGCATGAGAAAGCCAGCTCTGACTGTGTATTTCATGGCATTCCCTTCTGTGTGTCCTCCAGCCTCACCAGAGGACATGCCCATCTGGGAGCAGGACGTGGAGAAGCAAGTTACTGCCTTGGACAGGCTCATTGCACAGCCTGCGGAGCCAGGCGCAGGAGCCATGGAGCAGTGGGTGCTTCGTTGGTGAGTTCCTCACTCCTGCCGTTCCCGCTGCTGCTGATGTGGTGCCAGCTGCATCCCTCACTGCGCACCCTCCTTGACAGCAAACTCAGGGAGTTGGAGAAGATGCTGACCAAGGTGGAGCTTGAAGGGCAGAACCAGACCTTTGGAAAGGCCACGGTGCATGCAACTGTCCTGATTGTCCAGCCCGCTCAGGCTGCGCAGAACCTGGTTTTTGCTTCCCAAAGAGAGGTGGGTCCTTGGCAGCCAGCCCTGCTGGTCTCTGCTCACCAGTGTGCTCTCCTAGCCTCCATCCTCATGAGTCTCTCCTTGCAGGAGGACAGAGAGGTCCATGGGATCGTGGTGGACCTGCCGAGTAGCCTGTTCTTGATGGCAAAGGAGAGGGAGGAGGTGGTAGAGCACAGAGTGCTCCTGATGGACATCAGCAGCCAGACCATGTTCCAGGTGGTGGCCATATGGGTAATGTAGAATCATAGAATAGTTTGGATTGGAAAGGACCTTAAAGGTCATCCAGTTCCAACCCCCTGCCACAGACAGGGAGACCTTCCACTAGACCAGGTTGCTCCAAGCCCTGTCCAGCCTGGCCTTGAACACTGCCAGGGATGGGGCAGCCACAGCTTCTCTGGGCAACCTGTGCCAGGGCCTCAGCACCCTTACAGGAAAGAACTTCTGCCTTATACATAACATAAATCTCACCTGTTCAAGTTTGAACCCATTGCCCCTTGTTATATTGCTACAGTCCCTGATGAAGAATCCCTCTCCTGCACCCTTGTAGGCCCCTTCTCACGCTGGAAGGCTGCTATGTGGTTTCCACGCAGCCTTCTCTTCTCCAGGCTGAACAGCCCCAGTTTTTCTCAGCCTGTCTTCATATGGTGGGGTGTCCCCACCGTGCCAGGGACTCCAGTGGTACAGGGCAGCAGCGATGCTGTCCAGACCAGGATGCTGGTGCTTCCTTGCAGAAGATGCTTCAAAGATGAGCCAGAAGCTTGACAGGGAAGAGGTGGAGACCTTCCTGGGGACTCTCGCCCACTTCTCTTCTAGCAGCTCTCCCTTCCCACCCTGCCATCGCCTCCTCTTCTTTTCCAACAGGATGAAAACAGCAGCCACGTCCTGGGTGACAAGGTGGTCGGCATCTCTCTGGTGGACACAGTGGTGGCCAACCTCTCTGTCCCAGTGGTCCTCACTTTCTTCCATGGCCAGCTGCCAGTAGGTGGGGAAATAGCCTCATCAAACCTGATCCCACCAGGAATGGAGGGGCAGGGAGGGCTCAGGCTCTACCTGCTTAGAGATTTGTCACAATCCAGCAGGTCTACGCCATTGCCCTGCCTGTACAGGGTCTGCTACATCTTCAGGGGCTGTATTATGATCATGGCTTCACCGTGTGCACTGGTGATGTTGCTGCCTGTGCCTGTCCAGGAGATGCTGCTTTGCAGATGTGTCACCTCCAGCACAATCATCAGGGATGGGGGATGCTTTGAGTTAACAGTCCCACAGCTCATTCATGGTCCTGTTGGGCGCCTACTCAACACTGAACCCCTTGTTTGAAAAAGGGGACCTAGGAGGAGGAATCTGCTCCACAAGCTGCCAAGAGAGTGGTCTCTGCCTGTCCCCACAGGACAGTTTGTCTCCTGAGACTGTCTCTCCTCCTGCCCCATGTTCTCCCCTGTCAAATGTGGTGGCCTGGCAGCAAACCCACCACTGCATTCTGCTCAGGGCCTGTGCTTTTGTCATTGCAGAGGAACGTGACCCCACTGTGCGTCTTCTGGCGGGAGGACACCACTGGTGAGTGCTTCTGTGCTTGGTGTGAAGCCAGGCTCTGCCTTTGCTGCTTTTGCAGGGTACCACAGATCCACTGACACGAGTAGAAGTTCCTCTGCACTTCCCTTCCTCACTACAGCTTTATAAATCTTTTCCATGGGTTGATTTCAAGTTTTTCCCTAGCCTGAGAGCTTTCTCTGTCCCTAGGGATGCCAGGGGTGCTATCTGAGTGTGTGTGCTTGGCCTGGGACAAGCTGGAACCCCCACTTTGGTTCTCCTCCCTGCCATAGACACCTTGACCTGAGGATCCCCAAACCTGGAGCAGATGTTCCTGCTGCTCACCAGATGCTGTCCCTTTCTCTTAAACAGCCAACTCTGGAAGCTGGGACAGCTTCGGTTGTACAACAGAGACAGGGGGCAGCTGGACAGAGTGCAGATGTAACCACCTCACCTACTTTGCTGTGCTGATGGTGGGTAGCACCCTCCCATAGCTCTCCACATTGTTCCCACTGGCTGTTTTTCCTCACCATCTCATTCCTCCCTCTCCTCAGGTTTCCTCCCTGGAGATCACCTACATACACAGGGATTATCTGAGTGTCATAACCTATGTCGGCTGCCTGATCTCAGCTTTGGCATCTGTTTGCACCATCTTATTCCTCTACTTCAGGTACAGTGTGACAGTTTGCCCCATGCTCCCTGTCTTTGTCCTGTCCATTGCCACTGCACCTGGGTGGATGCAAGCTTTCCAAATGCAGTGGGGTGGCCTGTCTGGGAGCATGATGATGGAGACATGCCTGAAGAAAGCAGAGTTTTCCTGTCCAGAAACCACCCCTTGGTCAGATCTCCTGCAGGGCACTCAAAAACACTGGCTGTTTTCAATAACTTTTGGTTGTTGATGCGAATTCACAAGCAGAAGCCTGCAAAGATCTTTTAAGGGCTCAGTGGAGAAAATGAGTGTCATCTCCTGAGTCATGTCACTGATCCTGCATGGATGATTCAGAGCTGAAATGATGTTGCTCCCTACCCCGCTTGGCCCAGACCTGAAATGAGGGCTCAGCTGCAGGGCTCGATTTGCACATGTAATGATGGTCCCAGCTGTGGGGCCAGGCTCTCAGGCCCTGACACCACCAGAGGGTCTCTGTGCTTTTCTGGTAGGGACAAGTTGCCCAATGCAGAGCTATGTTGTGGGGCACCAAGGGTGCAGGCCACATCACAGGTGTGGTGGTGAGGTGTCCCCAACTTGACCCTCCAGGAGCAAGCAGCGAGACCAGATCACAAGCATGCACATCCACATGAACCTGCTGGGTGCCATCTTCCTCCTGGATGTCACCTTCCTCATCTCTGAGCAGTTGGCTTCCAGCAGCAGCGAGGCTGTCTGCAGAGCTGGTGGGCTCTTCCTGCACTTCTCCCTCCTGAGCTGCCTCACCTGGATGGGCATCGAGGGCTACAACCTCTACCGGCTTGTGATCGAAGTCTTCAGCACCTACCATGACCACTTCCTCCTCAAGATCTGCCTGGTGGGCTGGGGTGAGCATGGGGGAGGCAGAGAGGCCCCAAGGGCACAGGACATGGGGTGGAGGGCACCTACGGTCTTCCCCACCGTAGATGGTTCCTGGATGGGGATGTAGACATGGCTGTGGGGAAGCAGAGGGGTCTGAGAGCAGAGGGGTCTCTGCTGGGAGACTCAATGGAGAAGGAGACTCCATGGCTGAGAGCAGAAGCTGGTGGTAGAGCAAAGGTCGTGACATAGCAATGGGGTGCTCTTTCTGAAAGGAACACCCAGGGCAGCCCAGAGACGGGCTTGATGCAGGAAGCACCCGCACGTCTCTGCTGCGCTTCAGGCAGGGGGATGTGGTAGAAAGATCTCATGATCTTTCCTGACCTAAAATTCCACAGCCCAGTTTGATCTTCTGGCTGGGGTTGACGCCGCACAGTCAGTCCTGCATCAGGGCTTACAATAGGTGTCGTTGTGTGCTCCATTCTTAGTTCCTCTTGTTGGGGAGGATGTTGGTTTGTACTCTGTACAGGGAGAAAGGGGCAACGAGTCCTTCCAGGAGCTCCAAGACCTGGGGACGAGGGCGGCCACTTCACTCTGTTCTTGCCACCCAGGACTCCCCTTTTTCTGTGTGATGCTGATCTTCCTGGCCAGTTGGAGAAACTACGGCCCCTTCTCCATTCCCATCTATGAATCCATTGTTGGCAAATCCACCAACGCAACCATGTGAGTCATCGGAACTGGGTTGCCTGGTCCTTGGTCTTAGAGGAAGTCAACTGGCTAGACCTCCACTGTGTCCTACAGGATCTCTTCAGCTGTCCTGTGGCTTTCCTGGGGCTCTGTGCAGGGTGGTGGTGGGATCCCCCCTCCCTGTTTCACTAAGCTGGGTTCTGGGCTTGCACCACACCTTCGTGTTCCTCCCAGTCCCTCAAACTCATGTCCCCGTGGGGTGATACAGCGTAACCCTCTGTCCACTCTCTTCCCTCCAGATGCTGGATTACGAGCCCCCTGATCCATAATGTTGTGAACCTGGGTTTCTTCAGCCTGGTATTTCTCTTTAACTCGGTCATGCTGGGGGCCATGGTCCGTGAGATCCTCCGGCAGAACAACAAAGGCCACAAGCTCAAGCATGTTCTTGCCCTCTTTGGGCTGAGCATCCTGCTGGGCATTCCCTGGGCACTGGTCTTCTTCTCCTTCACCTCTGGTGTCTTCAGCCTCATTTCCCTCTACCTCTTCACCATTATCAACTCCCTCCAAGGTGAGCTAGGGATACAGGGCTCCTGTGAAGGGGTGTTGGTGGGGTGGTGACAGGTATGGGAGGAGTTGTCTCTGGCAGGCTGCTGCCTCACTCAAGAGGATTTGCCCACCCTTTCTCTCTCGTCTCCCAGGCTTCCTTATCTTTCTCTGGTACTGGACCATGGTGCTGCAGGCAAGGAAGTCCTCTGATTTGTAGAGCAGCTCCGACAGCATCAAACTGCAGCCCAAGAGCAGGCAGAGCCAAGGACAGGAAGGACCAACGCCGTTTGCTTTGCTACAGCATCCACCTCAGGGGCTGCTGGAGTCCAGGGTCCCCTCATCTCTGCCAGCCCCCTCACCAGCTTTCCCTTAGTATCCCTTGGCTTGGCATCCTTGGGGCAAGACGGAGGGATGCTTGCCCAGGCAGTGGGAGTTGTAGGAGGTGGAAGGGGCAGAGACAGGGTCCCTGCTGCCTCTGGATGTCCCTTCCCATGCCCTGAGGCCAGGGATGGGCCTTTTCCCCAGTGGAAAAGGCCCCATCTTCAGCCCTTGCTGGTGGTTACCAAGAAGGTCCATCCCCAGTGAAGACAGAGTAGCTCTGCCCCCAGCCCCTTCCAGCAGCTGAAATGGTCTATTTTTGTTAATTTGCTGAATGCCTATTTTTTGGATGGTGCAGAAGTTCAGTGGGTGCACCCACGTACCAGACTTGTGCCCATTAAAGTTGTTCCTGCTTGGAGCATGGCTCGCTGGGGTCTCTCTGCTGGGCATGTTGGCAAATTGGTGGCCTCTCCAATGGGTCCATCTCTCAGCCAGGGTTGTTCCATCCTGGGCAGGACCAGATGTGCATCCCTAATGATTCTGCTGAGCTGGGCCAGTGGTGGAGCTCCTGGCAGAGCACTGGTAGCCCAAGGCCATAGGGATCAGGGTGACAGTGGGAGATGCCATGGCTCGGGAAGCTATTGTGGTCTCCAAAGACCCTTGTACTCAGCACTTGTGAGGCAGCACATCAAATCCTGTGTTCAGTTTTGGGCCCCTCACTACAAGAGAGACATTGAGGTGCTGGAGCAGGTCCAGAGAAGGGAAATGGAACTGGTGAAGGGCCTGGAGCACAGGTGTGATGGAGAATGGCTGAGGGAACTGGGGGGGGTGGGGTGGGGTGGGTGTTAATCTGGAGAAGAGAAGGTTCAGGGATACCCTTATCGCTCTCTGCAACTGCCTGACAGGAGGATGGAGCCAGGAGGTGGCTGGTCTCTGCTCCCAAGGAACAAGGAATAGGACAAAAGGAAATAGCCTCAAGCTGCACCAGGGGTGGTTTAGGCTGTACGTTAGGGACAATTTCTTCCCCAAATGATCAGGCATTGGAACAGGCTACCCAGGGCCATGGTGGAGTCACCATCCCTGGAAGTGTTCACAAACTGTGTAGATGGGGCCCTCGGTGACATGTTTAGTGGTGGCCTTGCCAGTGCTGGGGAACGGTTGGACTTGATGATCTTAAAGGTCTTTTCCAACCTGGTTGATTCTGTGATTCTATGACCATCACTGCCCAGCAAAGAGGAAGGCTGTTGAAGGATGGGAATCCAAAGAGGGAGTTTTTTGCAGGACAGAAATCTCCTGAGTGCTTGCAGGGCAGAATGCAGCAATCCTGGCTGTGCTGTTTGCAAACCCAGCACTGTGTCTCTCATCCCACCAGTTCATCTTCTGGACAATGCTGCACTTGTGGCCTATCCCCCTCTGCAGGGATTCTGGCTGGGGTAGGGGGAGCCTTCCCACAAAGGGGGTATTTCATTCCCATCAGCTCACAGCAAAGCCCAGTGGCATGCCCTGTTTCCTAGAGTAACACAATCATAGAGTGGTTGGGTTGGAAGGGACCTTAAAGATCAGCTACAAAGGGCTGGGATAGGGATGCCCTAACATGTCACTCTGGTGGGGACTGTCAACCAAGGATTTGCAGGATGCGAGTGAAAGGGGAAAGACAAAAGCCCCACGTCAGATGGAAGTGGCCAAGGAGGAAAGTACGTGACTTTGACAGTTACTGTGAGCTGGGGCAGGAGGTCACAGGAAGGCGTGAGAGGGTCTCAGAAGGGAAATGAGGAGACGGCCGTTGCCTCAGGAGCAGTCACAAGCCTCAGGGGAGCCCAGGGAGGAGCAGAGCTGTTGGTAGGTGAGGAGCAGAGCACTGTGGGATGGCTGGGAGCAGCCCGGACACCACACAATGCAGTATGAACCTGCTGCTGGGCACAGCCCTGCTGCTCCCGGTGCTGCCCGGTGAGTGATGGGTCAGGGGGATGTGGGCAAGTGCAGGCTTGGTGGTGAGTTTTCCCATGGAAAGCACTGACTCAAAGACCACAGCAGGGTTTCACCATGATACGTGGCTGGGCCAGGAGGGAGCGTTTCTGCTGGGATGTGTGGAGAGCTGGCAGTCAGGTGGGTTTGCTTCTGGGGCTGTTTCAAAACCTGAGACCAGCAGCCCAGGGTCTCATCTTCAGCCACCAAGGGGCTGGATGTGGTGGCTTTGACTTCTCCAGCCCTGATGCTGTCCATGTTTTTGAAGCCCACATAACTGAAGGGCTGCTCCTGTTGAGCCTGGCAGCTGCCAGATTCTGCTGCCTCCCCTCCTGTCGGGGCAGAGGGAGGGCTGACCTGAGATGTTGGGGTTGTCCCCCCATTTCCCTACATGCTTTTCCTCCAGACGCTGCCAGGGGACAGGAGATCTGTGCTGGTGAGTGGTCCCCCCATCCCTGCCCATGCCCTCAGTGCCACGCTGCCCAGTGGTCACCTTGTTTCCCTCCTGGGCAGCCTTGAGGCAGGGTGATGGGCAACACCAGTGCTGCAACATGACGGTGGAGCAGGAGGAGTGAGGGGACAGGACACTCAGCCCTGACCTGCCCCAGTGCTGCCAGGAGCTGGGGCGCTCGGGCAACCCCACATGTGCCTGCCTGCGGGAGTGCTGACTCAGGTGAGGGCAGGCTGGGCTGGGCAGGGCTTGGGGGCTCAGCCCCCCATGCCACAGGTCCCACACCTCTCCTGCCCTGCAGGCTGCTGCAGGTGGTGGGGCCAGTGCTGCACAGTCATCTGGCTGGGGTGAAGGTGTTGCTCCTGAACGTCAGCAGGGCTGTCACCCAGGACGTCCTCATCGCTTTTTCCCCCACGGAGGTGAGACGTGCCCCTCTCCCTTGCTCAGAGGGGCCTGTACCTTCCGAGCATACCTCAGTCCCTGCCCCGGGACTCGGTGCACCATGGTGTGCTCTTCCTCAACCTTGTTCTGTGGTTGCATCATGGACCAACATCAGCTTTAGATTCCCTTGGCAAGAAGTCATGTGAAATAGTGTTAGGGAGGTAAGAGCCTCCCTGAAGAGCTGGTGATCAAGGTGAGGGGGAGGTAGAAGGAAACGTGTAGGACCTTGTGCCTCGTGCCCACATGCCAGCTTTCCCAGTATCTGGATGTCGCAGGGAACCACGTCCGATGGGATGATGGTGGGCTGGAGCTCTCCTGGCACCTACTCCCAGCTCTGCCCCTTTCCTGCTGGGTGCTAGGGATGAAGTTCTCCCCTTCTGCCCTGGGGATCCTGCTGATGTTGCTCAGCAAAACCCATCCAGACAGGGCTGAATTTATGCCTGGAGCAATTCTGGTGGATCCTGAACAAAAAGGTGATGCTGCCAGCCAGCACCTACCACCCTTCTGTGCCGCAGCACCCCAGGATGCTGAATGTGACGGGGAAGGGGAAGGCAGGAAAAATCTATCTCCCTCGGGGGATATTCTGGTCCCTGAGCAGCCAGACAGTGCACGTGGTAGTGACAGTCCTCAACATCCCACAGCTGGGCATGTTCCAGGTATGAGCCAGTGTTGCTGGCATCCATCTGGTTGCTGCTACCTGCTGGCTTGGCTCAGGCAGCGCTGCCCGGAGGTCAACCAGACAGGGCAGGTCCTGGACGACACCATGGTGGGCATCACACTGGGAGAGACGAGCATTTCCGGTCTGCGGGACCCTGTGCAGCTCACCTTTGCCCCACGTCAGCCAGCCGTGCCCTCCTTCTCTCCCTCCCCTGCTGCCTCTCACTGAGGTGTTGGCTGATACTGATCTCCCCCCTTGCAGGGAATCACCCCACAATGTGTCTTCTGGGATCCCAGCAAAGGTCTGATCCTCGCTGGGGCCTCTTTGGGGCCGGGTGTGGGTGCTGTTCCTGGCACTTGGGGTCATCACCCTGTGCCTGTTTCAGGGCAGGCAGGAGGCTGGAGCGGTAGCGGATGTGACACACAGACCTGGGACAAGGGGACACACTGCTCCTGTGACCATCTCACCTTCTTCACCCTCCTCCTGGTGACAACCCTACTCCCCACAGCTCCTGTCTGTGCTGTATGCCCCACCATGGTGGCCCCTTGGGTACCACCAGTAGCTGCACAGGGACAGTTACAGCTGCTCCTGGGAAAACTGAGGTCCCAAAATCAAGCCCAGCTCAGGAGGGCAGCAGCAACTCGGTGGAGCGGGTACCTGGAGAAAACAGCCCCCAGCCTAGTGCAAGCTCTGGAGCAGCAAGGCTTGGGGTCCTGTCTGCTGCTGGAGGTGCTCACAGTGATCCACCATGGTCACCTTCACTCATCCCTTACCCCACCCCAGGGAGGATGTCCTCTGAGCCACCACTGCCCCACTGCCCCCAGAGACCTTCTGGGGTAACAGACCAGGGGCTTGCCTGGAGTCTTTGCAGCAGCCACGGAAGTCAGCAGCCCTGTGGCTTTGGTAGCTGCAGTCAAGTTGTCTAGGTTGGTCCAGGGTCTGTGTAACCCAAAGTGCATGTGTTTGACAGAACCCAGCTCTGGATAGGTCCACAGCACAAGCCCTGATGGCTGTTGCCACTGCTGGTTGCGGGGTAGCTGTGGCTTTCTCCATCTTCACCATTGCCTTCTGCATCTTCTTCAGGTAGGATGTGCCCTAGGGACTCATCAGGCTGGGAGGGGTGTAGGGCAGTTCTGGTGCTCCTGCATGAACCTGCTGTGACACAGGGCACTGCTCGGCTGTGACCCTGCCTTTCCTCCTTCCCCTGGGGACGCTCAGGTGCAAGTTCAGGTCCGAGGAGACCCTGCATCAACCTGGGGCTGCATGTAAACCTGGTGGGCCCCCTGCTCCTCCTCAACCTGGCCTTCCTGCTCAACAGCGGGCTCTCTGCTGGAACCCTGCCAGGGCCCTGCAAGGTCGTGGGCAGGTTCACCCACTACTGCCTGCTCTGCTGCTTCACCGGGATGGCACTGGAGGGCTGCCACCTCTACCTTCTCTTTGTCAAGGTCCTTGGCACCTACATCCGTAACTACCTGGTGAAGCTGTGCCTGGTGGGCTGGGGTGAGCACCATCAGCCTCAGTGAGAGATGGGGGAGAGGCAGGCAACAGGTTACAACCAGAGGGGAAACTGGGTGATGGAAGAGTGAGCAGAGAATGAGCAAGCCCCTGTCCTGCCCACAGCTCTTTCAAATGCTGTGGTCACGGCTGAGAAGTGTCCTATACGGGCTTGCGGCATCCACACCTTCCACCCTGCTGCGGACCGTCCTCCACAGCACCATGGGAGGCACTGGAGCAGAGGAGGGGACACATTGAGCCTTGGTACTCAGCACTGTACTTCCTCCTCCGCATCACATCCCAGCAGCAACCATTGTGCCCCCAGCACTTACACAACCTCCGCGGGTCCCTAAGCTCCATCTTCCTGGAGGCCAGCACACCCAGGGCCATGCAGAGTCCCCAGGGGATGACCTTGCTTCCTTCTTGCCTTCCTGTCTTCCCCCAAGTGTCTCCCTTTTTCTTCCAGGCTTCCCCGCTCTTGTGGTGGGGGTGGCAGGAGCCATCAGCAACTATGGAGAACACAGCATCCAGACCATGGACCACCAGGTCATAGCCCGCCTGTACGTGCCCCGGCACCCACAGGGATTAGGGGGCCCTTTGGCAGGGGTAGCAGTAACCTGGCCCTGCTGGGAAGGTTGAGGTGGTTGGTTGCACCCATCCTGCTCGGCTTTACGCTGCACTTCTGCTTCCCAATTGTGACTGCAACACAGCAGCCAGAGCTGTGGTAACCACCCCCTCTTGTGCTAAGCCTGCAGCCCCCAGGCCATGGAGGGACATCCAAGGGTCACATGGAGCTTCCCCAGGCTCCCTCCTCCCAGCTGAGCAACAGGAGGGCAGCAGATACACACCACTGTCCCCCCTGCTTCACTCCCGCCTTGGAAAACCCCACCAGCACAAGGGTGTCCCTGCATCCCCCAACATGTGCCCCTGGGGAGGTTCTCATGGGTGCTGCTGGGGTTAGCAGAGCCACTGGAGGCACTGTGGTTGTCTCTTTTCAGGTGTTGGATCACTTCCAAACATCTTCTGGTTCACTACATCACCAACTGTGGCTACTTTGGCCTCATCTTCCTGTTCAACACAGCTGTTTTTGCGGTGGTGATCCAGAAGAGCTGCAGTCTGCAGGGCACAGGGGTAGTACAGGGAGACCGCAAGGCCTGGAAGGTGGTTCTGGTGGCAATGGGGCTCTTCTGCCTAATGGGAGCCACCTGGACCCTGGTGTTCCTCACCCATGGCACCTCCTCTGTGGCCATGCTCCACCTCTTCACCATCCTCAACTCCCTCCAAGGTCAGGGCTGGCTCCAAGCTGGGCATCCTGGGATCGGGTGGGGAAGATGGAGGAGCAGGAACCAGCCTGGTAGCGGCTTGACTAGGGTTCCCAAGGCACCAACATCTTCCCAGCACTTCCCTTTGGCAGGGAAACAGCAGGTGCCAGCCAACAGCATGGAGCTGGTCATGGCTCCCAACCACATCCACTCCACTGTGGGTGGTTTTCCTCAAAGGAAGTCATTTGTTAGCAGAGGAAGAGGGACATTATCCACCCAGGGCATGACCCAGCCAAATGGCTCACCATGAATCGTGGGGAGACCCTCCTGCTAGAGTAGGAGTGAGCTGGGGGAACACCCTGAAAGTGGCAGGGAAGAGCCAGCAGCATCCCAGCAGGATGCTTCCCACTATATCCTGCTGCTGAGTGTCTGACTTCCTTTCCCTGCAGGAATCTTCATATTCATCTGGCTGGTTGTTCTCTACTACCCAAAGGCAAAGGAGACCATTGGCTCCTTCTCCCACATCATCAGACCTGACAAAGCCACCACAGCCTCCCAGGACTAGCTGCTGGCTGCACCTCCCTCCCTGCCTGCATGTGCCCCTGCTGAGAGCATGCCTCAATTGCAATAGGTGCAGCTTCCCACAGAGGATGAGGGCTCAGTTTACCATGCCTCAGTTTACCCTTCAGTGGGCATAATCCACTTTAGCAGTAGATGCACTTTGCTTCAGTCAGCCTGCTGTGGGCAAGGAGTTCTGGAGACATCCCTTCTGCCAAAGTCCCTCCATGCTGCAGCTGCACCAAGGTCTTGAAGTGCCCCTGATCTCCTTCTCCAGAGGCTCATGTGGGGGCAAGGGTGGAACCCCTGAACCATCTGCCTTCAGCCAGGATGGGGCCATCCTACTCTGTTAGAGATGGCCTCTGGTGCTGGACCAGCCCAGTGGTGGGTTTTTCTGCTGTTGGAGGTTGGATGATTGATTGACTCCAGCCCAGACTCAGGAGGTTCAGATCTGGGAATCATCAGAAACAGAGAAATCCCATGAGGTTCTTTGTGATACATCCCCTCCAAACAGACTGAGGCTGAGCTCTTTGGGCAGGGATCTGTTGAATATCCCTCCTTTCCCAACCATTTCCAGGAAGTCACCATGCTTCAGCTGAATGTACACATGGCCACTCCTCTTCTTTACCTCTGTTTTAGTACTAAACTTTTGTCAGCTTTCTGAGCAGTTTGATTTTAGTCTTTGATGCTCACAATATTATTATTTGCTTTATACTAGGGATGATTTGGTGGGTAAAAGTCTTTCCTGGGTTCAGCAGTAGCAGCCATTTTTCTCCTTCTTAGTAGCTGGTGCAGTGCTGTGTTTTTGACTTTCAGCCTGGGAACAGTGCTGCTAACACCGATGTTTTTAGTTGTTGCTCAGTAATGTTTACTCTGACCAAGAACTTTCTGAGTCTCATGCTCTGCCAGGTAGGAGGGGAGGCCGTGAGGAAGCAGAGACAGGACCCCTGACCCAAACTAGCCAAAGAGGTACTGCATACCACAGCACGTCATGCCCAGTATATAAACTGGGGGGAGTTACCCGGAAGGGCAAGATCACCGCTCAGGTCAGGCTGGGTATTGGTCGGTGGGTGGTGAGAGGTTGTATTCTCTTCCCTTGTTATTTCTCTTATCGTCACTACTATTGGTGGCAGCAGCAGTGGTTTGTGTTATGCCTTAGTTACTGCACTGCTCTTATCTCAACCCGTGGGACTTACATTCTTTCGATTCTCCTCCCCATTCTTCTGGGAGTGGGGGCAAGAATAAGTGTGGGGGGGGAGGGAGCAAGCAACTGCATGGTTCTGAGTTACCAGCTGGGCTTAAACCACGACAAAGTCTTGCTGGGAATTTATCATGAATGAAAGGAGAAATCTGTCATGAATGAAGAATGAAATCTCCATGGATAGGTGTACATATATATACATATATATATATGTGCATGCACAGAGCAGCCCTTTCTCTGCTAATGCTACATCTGTGTCACACAGAACCATGCAAAGTCCAGCTTTGGTGGGCAAGCATCTAGTGTGGGCACCTCCAGCTCCCCATGGGTGACTCTCTGGGAAGGAGGAAGGAACCTTCCATCACAGAATCATATAATCCCAGACTGGTTTGGGTTGGAAGGGACCTTAAAGCTCATCCAGTTCCAACCCCCTGCCATGGACAGGGACACCTTCCACTAGACCAAGTTGCTCCAAGCCCCGTCCAACCTGGCCTTGAACACTGCCAGGGATGGGGCAGCCACAGCTTCTCTGGGCAACCTGTGCCAGTGCCTCACCACCCTCATATAATGTTATAACAATGTAGACATACATATCAGTAAGTATTTAAACTGCTTAGAAAGTTAAAATTAAAGCCTTGAACTGTATTGCCCACTCCACACTCAGGGTAGATGGACTGAGAAACTCACACTTTGCAAAGAAGTTAATTATTAGTCATTGGTAATGTTACTGCTCATTAGGGATATAAACCTAAGAATTGCTCTGTGTGCTCATTATTTAAGCACCATAATACAACCATTATTGAGATACACACTGGGCAGGACTGACCTGTGACCAGACTCAGCACAGCCGATCAAAAGTTCCTATGAACTCGACCATGCATGCATGGAAAAGCAAGTTTTGAGTAAGTGAATAAGGATGCTTGAGAGCACGGGCCAGGAAGGAATAAGAAGGTCCCAGGAATGCTATAGGAAACCAAGACACTCTGATGTGGCTCATTCTTGAAGCACTGTTTGCATCCAATCATCACATGCAGAAGCCTCTCTGTTGCTGTCACATTTATTTCATAGAATCATAGGAGAGTTAGGGTTGGAATGGACCTCAAGATCGTCTAGCTCCAACCCCCTGGCCATGGGCAGGGACACTTCACACTATTCTATATCACCAAAGACTTCATCCAATCTGGCCTTGAACACTGCCAGTGATGGAGCTTCTGGGAACATCTGCCTTCTACACCAGCCAACGCCTCGTGCTGATAGCTGCCACAATCACAAGGAGCAAAATGAGAGTACACAGCACAAGGAGGCTCGTAGAGAGCCATGGGTTGTGTCCTGTCGAAGAAGAGAAAGGTTGGTTACACATATGGGGCCCCTGAGCCACCGCTGAGCCCTGACACAGCATCTTCTGTCTGGGGCTGAGCTGGGGAGATAAGAGCCACTGCAGCCAGGGGTATGCTGGGGTCCTGAGGGCACTAACAACAGGACTCAGTCATCCCAATTGGCCTCATGTGCAGACTCCACCCATACCCACTGCCTGGGGGCTCCATTTAGCTTGTCATTCATGAGGCTGGTGTGAGCTACACTGGGCTACATCTGAGCTACTAAGTGGGCTTGGTCCTCGATTGTCCTCAGTGCCCAGAAGCCTGCTTTGCTGGGTTGATACAGAGATATAGTGTGAGAGCCCAGACTTCCTTGCCTGGCTCCTGGTTTCTTCCCACCCTGCTCAGCCCAACCTGTGCCTGGTATGGAGTTGCTCATCAGAGCCAAGCTCTGCGTGCTGGTTTGGCTCCCGGAGCACACACTGCATGGCTGTGACACCTGAAAGACTCCATGCTCCTGTGCAGAGCAGCGACTTTAGCAGTGCTTTTAAATAACCAGGCATTGCCTAGAGATTTGAAAGAGTCTGTGAGCTGCTCCTGGCCTCCCCAGAGGGACATACATACCCTTCGGGTCCTTTTGGTCATTCCTGGAGTGGTTGGTCATTTTTCCCAGTACGTGGATTGGCCCATAGGAGGCAATCTTACTGTAGTCATTGGCCAGTGCCCGCTTGCTCCTCCAGTGCCTAGGGCATTGCTATGGACAAAGCCAAGGGAAGGGTGTTGGGTCCAAAGGGCAGGAGAAGCCTGCACTGGGGCAAGAGCACATTCTGGTGGTCTGCCCCTGCAGAAGTACCACTGGGGCTGCAGCCTGGGAGCAGTCAAGAGCCTGCTCCTGCCCAGGTCCTAGCATAAGCCTCTCTGTCTGCAAATACCCAAAAGACAGCAGGAAGAGGGAAAGGAGCTTTCTGTTGGGTTCAAGCCCTTGTACCTTTAGTTCAAAGTGCTGTGCTGAGCTCCTGCTGCTGGGAGGTGTTTATTGTGCTGAGGCATCCAAAACCAGAGCACAGCCCCTTCTCCTAGCAGCAGGATCAGGGAAGGCAGGTCCCTCTGCATGGCCAGGGAATGGTGCAGACCACTGGGAGAGCTCACCTTGGCACAGGGCTCTGGGCCGCTGGGGAGACAGAGCTGGACACGGCAGTGCAGGAACACCTTGGTGTAACTGACAATCTGGAACATCTGGAATCTGAACTTGGCAGTAGCGCTCTCTCCAAAGCTGTTCAGGTATATCACTGTCTCATCATAGGGACACCTGAGACACCGTGGCTGAGTCAGAAGGGGGAAACAAGGGGGAGCATCCCAACCTGGGACACCAAGCACATGGGGACTGGGGGCAGCTCCCAGGCGTTGCTGAACAGAACTATTACTGTCTTGGTGCTGGTGGGGATGCCTTTTCTTGGCACTCTGAATTGTGCCCAGCTCTGTGAGGAACTGTTACCAGCACAGGAGCATGTGGCATGTATCTTGCCCTGTGCAGCCAAAGCTCTACACAGGTGCAGTGAGCCTGGCTGTCTTCCCACTTCCCAGATATCCATGTTACTGGCTTTAGTTTAGCTGCAGCCAACACAAGCTATTCAGCAGAGACCTCTCTGTATATTGCAGCAAGGTCTCCCCTCTCCCCTTCCTGTTCTTTGCCTCACCTGCTGGCCAGAAGTCATGCTGGAGGGAAGGCAACAGAGCAGGGTCAGGAGATGAGGCTCAGTTTAGAGTGATTAGAGGGATCATCTATGGGGGTGTTCCTATTTAATGATGGTGTCCACCATAGGTTCCACCCATGCAAATGATGGTGTCATTGCTCCTTCATAGCAACTGGTCCTTAGCACCCAGCAAAGAGATGTGACTGTGCTCACGGTGCAAGGAGACCAGTTGCACTATAGGCCCTCCACTCACCCCTCCTCAATGAGCTTGTGCTGCGCTTCCTGGTAGGGATCTGTGCTTGCTGTGCCCCAGCAGCCCTCAACGCTCAGCAGGAAGCTGAGCTGGTGCTGCCCTTCTATCTCCAGCAGAACATACAGCGTGTCTTTGATCGGGACGGCCTCAGCTGGCAGGTGATAGGGCTGGAGGTAGGAGGCAGTCTTGAACAGTCTCATGCTGACATTAAAGTGTCCTTCTCTGACCTCAAACTGCGCTGGCCTGAGAAGAGAGAAGGAGACCTCACATACAGAATAAAGCAGGAAGGACATAGCACAAGTCAGGCCAGCAGCAGAGGTGCATTGACTTGGGATGTGCCTCTGCCCTCAGGTGAGATCCAGGCCCAGAGCTGCCTCTGGGCTGGTATGTCCACACCGTGTGCGGCCAGAGGCAAGGAGCTCCAGGAGTTCCCATTGACAAGCTGGCCAGTGAGGGCTATGAGAAAGGCAACTAAAGAGGTCCTGACCTGCACCTTTACAGGGCCCTGGGTAGGGCATCTCCCAGTTCCCACCCTTTATTTTTTGGACAGTTGCTTTCAAGCAGTGAGGGTAAGAGAAAAGTAGATTGTGCATGCCCCTGTGGCTCTGCCCCAGGCCCAAACCTCATGCTGAAAGAATGTTTCGGGAAGAGAAAGGGAGGCAGCCTGATCTCAGAGCTCTCTAGTGGCTTCCCAGGGCCTTTGCAGATCATCTCATTGAAGGCATCTATTTTTCTGCAAGCTCTTTCATCTCAGCAGCAAGATAAAGAGGGACCACTCACCTGTCAGCAGTAGTGGGACCTGTGGGCAGTCTCACCACTCGTTCATAGGCGTAGTCACAGGAGAAATTCAGATCAAGCTGAAAATTCTCAGAGATCGCCACCCCATGTGCATCCCACCCTGACTCCATGACGTTGGAGTACGACACGTGGGAGCCGTTTTGCTGGAATGACACAGAACTCAAGTCTCCAGATGTCTAAGTCCATACATAGAGCCCTAAAGTCCACTTCAGGTGCTGCAACTCAGCTGCTCCAGGCCTGGATATCTGCTGGGGTTTTCCTCAGGCCCCATGTCCAGAGGCTGCTGGCAACCATCACCAGAGCAGGCAGGAATCAGCAGACTGACCACTGGTGAGGGCAATGCAAAGCTGGAGCACTGGTTCCTTTGAACACTCCCTGACCCATGTATCAAGTGAGGGACTA